TTTTTTTTTTTTTTTTTTTTTATGTATTTAAAAAATATAAATATAATTTACTTTTAAATCGGTAAAATAATTATTTACATTAAATATTAAAAAAATTAATGAATAAACTAAAAAATTATACTTTTAAAATCATAAACGTTAAATAAATTAAAATAGATATATTAAATGAAAAGAAATCTAAAATGGTAATTTAACATAATTAAAAAAAAATTTAAGAATAAATATTTGAGTGTCATTGTTTCTTCTACAATGCGCCCTCATCATTTACAGAACAAACTCAGTTTGTGCTTTCGCCATGGACGAATCTTTCCATTACAATGTCTGCACTATTCACCGTCGGCTTTCGTTCTTCTACCATCGCCGAAATCTTAATACTATGCTCCCGGGGCTCCGATTCGGTACCCGACGGCGGGCGGCGCTGCTTTCAAAGACGAATATGGCTTCTTGGAGTTTGCGAGGGCCACACTTGCTTTGGCGGCCAAAGAACAGAGCTCCGTGAGGGAGATCGGAAGATTGGCTTTTGCGAGCGGGATTAGAAAATAAATTTCTCCTAATTCGAGCTCTCTGTTGCTGGATATTTGGGGAATGATCGAATCGATCTTCATAGATTCTGAACTACAGAGAAAGCAATTAGGGTTTTGATCAAGAATGTGGCCGGCCTTTACTGGATGCCTCAATTCTTGAAGCCTACCATCTGTATGGATAATTTTTGCAGTTGAAGGCCAGTTTGTGAGGCTGCTAGCACTCGAGTTCTGAGATGAGGCACAAACTCCCATTGTTTTAGTTAGATGGAAGAGGAGATGGGTACGTAGTGAATGATAACTTATATTTATATAGAACGAAAACTGGGGGGAAAATAGCAGGGCATGTGAATCATGGGGCCATGATAAGACGGTATGAAAACGGCGGAAAATGCAGTGAATATAAGGCTTGATTATCCTTTTTGAGTTTCCTTGGTGCTACAATTAGATACCAAAACTGTGCAGAAGCTGGGCCACACTGACCATTTATCTCAGGGAGAAAGAGTGAGAGAAAGCAGGAGACCCCTTTCTCGACCAACCGACTGTTCAACGTGTCTCTCACTGTTTGACAATGACACCAATCGGTAACTTTTCTGTCCCAACAGAGTTATCTGATTGATCAACATGATTAACCATTTGGATCTCAATATCATGATTTTGATAATGCTTATACACATATGCTAATGGTTCAAAAGAAATAGCAACTCTTCCTGTGCTTTTTTTCTTGTGGGCTACTGTTCTTGGCCTTGAGATGGAGTGCGCTGCACAAAATAAGTTGTTTTTGTAACCATAATGTTTTCTTGATTGTTCTTGATTGGGAAGCCTTTTTGATTTAGATCTCAGGTGGGGTGATCTCTATGCTGCCCCGAGGCTTCTTTTCGGTTGCGAACTGTCTCTAATCCGGAAGAAATGGGATAGTACTTATGGTTCATGGAATTGAATTATGTGGATCAATCTTAGTGCCATACAAGTGTACCTACCTAAACCCACCACTAGCAGATATTGTTCTCTTTGGCTTTCCCTTTCGGACTTCCCCTCATGGGAGAGGTTTTCACACCCTTATAAAGAATGTTTCGTTCCAGTCTCCAACCGATGTGGGATCTTAGAATCCACCCTCTTTCGGGGCCCAACGTCTTCGCTAACCCTCATTCCTCTCTCTAATTGATATGAGATCTCACAAGAAGGGTAGCTGTCCTCTATCATGTTAGGGAATAGGATTAAGAAGATGGGTGAAAGGAGACTGAAAATAGTACCGACCAAATTACTTCTTGGACAGTAACAGAGAAGAAGGAGAAGGGCCTCTTGCTGTACTGAATTATACTATCCAGATTTTGTCTCATGAGGTATTGCTATCACATCTCTTCAGTATTCAAAAGAGTTCCATTAATACATGCATATAATAGAAAGTAATAATTGTAGAATGTTTGGAGATGTAAAGTTTACTTTTTAAAAAAAATTAGTGAAAGGATCAAAAAGCACTTTTTATGTTTGATATCATAAAAGTTTTCAATAGTCTTTTGAAATAATGTAGGTTTGGAAAATGATATTGATCTTTGCAAGGTTATTAGCTATAACTACAACAAGGATAGGCCATGAATTGCTACTTTCCGAATTGAACATTATGTGTAACAACCCAAACCCACTACTAGCAAATATTGTCTCTTTGGACTTTTCTTTTAGGCTTCCCTTCAATGGTTTTAAAGCGCGTCTGCTAGGGAGAGGTTCCCACACCCTTATAAATAATATTTTGTTCTCCTCCCCAACCGAGGTGAGATATCACAATCCACTCCCTTCGGGGCCCAGTGTCTTCGCTGGCACTCGTTCTTTCTCCAATTGATATGGGACCCCCCAATCCACCCCCTTTGGGGCCAGCGTCTTTGTTGGCACACCGCCTCGTGTCTACCCCCCTCCGGGGCTCGGCCTTCTCGCTGGCACATTGCTCGGTGTCTAGCTCAAATACCATTTGTTATAGCCCAAGCTCACCGCTAGCAAATATTGTCCTCTTTGGGCTTTCCTTTTCGGGCTTCCCCTCAAGGTTTTTAAAGCGCGTCTACTAGGGAGAGGTCTCCACACCTTTATAAGTAATGTTTTGTTCTCCTCCTCCACTGATGTGGGGATATCACATTATGTGAGTAAACAGTCTCACTACTTTTCCCGTTAAATTTACACTTTATCTATGATTCTTCATATGTATATTTAGAATCCTGAAGAGTTATTATCCAATTTTTTCTAAGTTTTTCTTCATGTTCTACCATGTTTATCCATTTTCTTCTTCCTTGGGGAGGCTGGCGGTCCTCGGGTCTGCATCAAAGATGGGATGTACTTGATGGCATTCTGTGACAATATAGATAATTGGTGTTAATGACAAGGAAAGGGAAAGTTCACTTTCTGGAAAAGGAAACTTTGCTGAAATTGTGAGGGAAGATGCAAATTTAGCCAAATGCTAAAAATGGATTAATGGGGTTGGAGTTTCTTAATGTTTTATGGTCTGTGTTGATCAGGTAGAGCAGATTTTGGAGCAACTTTTACAAAGTTTGGACCAAAATGGCGTGCGTGCTTCATTCATCCTCTTCCAGGAAAAATCTCGAACCATTCTGTGTAGGCAAGTTTAAGATACATCCAATTTACAGGTAGACTTGTGGCCCTCCTCCTTTGTAGATATGAAGTATGCCCAAACTCTTTTTTCTTCCTTTCTTTTTCAATATGCCCTTTGCATACGTTTCTTTCACGCTAGGAGAACCCTTTTCTATATTTGACACTATTGTCGTTTCTTTGTGAATGCATCTCTGTTCTGGAATATTGCCTTTTCTTTCTCTTCTATCTCGTCCAAGCCATAATGCATGTTTTTATTTCATATAAACCAACCCCATTAAGGTCCCATTCTGAAAGTGGAAGTGTGTAGCTTTTCCCTTTAGAACTTGAGGATGGCCCATAATCAGAACTGTTCTCCAAGCCTGGGTATGTCTTATAACTTGAATATAATATGGTTCAACGTATTAAAACATATACTCTCGACTATAGGTTCGAATCAAACGTGTTGAATCCAAAAACAAAAATGCAAGACTGATACTATCGATGTATGGTTCTAAATTCGTATTACTTTGATTAGGGATAAAGTTTGAAGGAAAGGTCTGATTTGATGAATGATGAGGCCATGTATATGTACATGTTGGTATATACAAGTTTACTCTCTTTCTGTATGCATATGGTTGCCAATTTAGGAAATGTTTTCGAGCTTGACATTGATGGATGACTAATGAACCAGAACTTAGAAACATAAAAGGGAATCACATATTTCAGTAGTAGGCATAATCAAAATGTTATAGTTTTTGAAGACAGACTTCTTGGATGTATGGATATTCAGCCTCATGATCTTGTAACAATTGTTGTTTTTTTGCATTATGAAAGAGATTGGTATCGACTATAATTTGCGTGTTGATTTAATTTTGTGTGATCATATTCTAAATATCATCCGATTAATTTGTTTTACTCATACTTGAGAGGAATGTAATTAGGAATGTAATAGCCTAATGTCACCACTAGCCGATATTGTTTTCTTTGGGTTTTTTCTTCCAAGTTCCCTCAAGGTTTTAAAACGTGTCTACTAGAGAGAGGTTTTCACACCCTTATAAAGAATGTTTCATTCCCCTCTCCAATCGATGTGGGATCTCACAATCCACCCCCCTTCGGGGCTCAGCGTCCTCTTTGGCACACCGCCTGCTGTCCACCCCCTTCAGGGCTCAACGTCCTCAGTGGCACACTGCCCAGTGTCCACTCCCCTTCTGGGCTCTACGTCCTTGCTGGCTTTGATACCATTTGTAACAGTTCAAGCCCACTTTGGGTTTTCTCTTCTGGGCTTCCTGTCAAGGTTTTAAAACGTATCTGCTAGGGAGAGTTTTCTACACCCTTATAAAGATTACTCCGTTCCCCTCACCACTTGATGTGCTATCTCACAATATTATACGCACATAAGCTTCTTTGATACATGAGAGGTTTAGGACTAAAGATGGAGAATCTGTAGGCTTTATTGTGTTTCTTTACTTTTCTTTCCTTTTTTTTGGGGGGGGGGGGGGGGTTTTT